GACTTTAGGATGATAAATACTACCAATGGACCTCTTTGTCTTCCTTATAAGGTCTCTTTTGGTCCATTTATACCTCTCATTTCCTCAAAATTTCTACTTTATAGGCCAATAAATAAAAATTTTGGGGTAACTTTCACTCATTTATGATAGAAATGTTATAATAAATGATTAATTGAAGTATTCAAGCTGAATGAACTATCCGTATAAAAGTTTACTGTCTCCAAGGAGGTTTCAATAAGTCCTTACGTAAAACTTAAATTTACGCCGCGTTCCAGAGAGGGACATAAAAAGCTTCTCTTTTGGTGAATAATTTGTTGTTACTGCTTTAAAAATAATTTCATTTACTTAAAACTATATATTTATTAAAGTATTTCTTAGGAAAAATTTTCTAGTATAGCAGAATATAAGAAAAAAGGAGAAAAAGCTCCCCAAAACTTTAAGTGTGGCTTATTCTGTCAACTAATATTCATGGTAAAGTCCTATTTCAAGGAAATTTTCTCATAAAATGTGTTTTGGAGACTCAATCCACTCAGAATATTTCATTATTAGTAATATTTCACTTAAATAGCAAGAAATTTTAACACATGAGAGTACTCACAAGGTCAAAGGTGCATGTACAGCTTCCTATATTAGGTGTAATACCACCATTGATTTTCCCCTATTAGTCTTTGTTAAATTTGCACTTTTCAAAAAATTGTGCAGAATTTATCTTTGTTTCAAATAAAGAAATACTTGGCATGAGTAAAGTTTGATCCTGTCCAGTACTATAGAAAAAATTTCACATAACATTTCATTGCATATAAGAAAATAACCATCACTGGAAGTTAACCAATCAAATTTTCCCCCTTTTTTAACCTGTATACAAGCTTTAGTAACCATGTAACCTCAAGTTTCCAAAATATTCTATAGAAACCCCAAATAAAAAAATAATGGTGCTTTGAAATACCCAAGATATATGTTTATGACCCAGAAATGTTTTACTGCAATGAAATGTAGGATCAATTACCTACAACTGTCAAATTCAAGGGAATATTTTTTTTCGACCTATTTTCGTATGCAACCGGATGTGACGTACTATGATTTGGTGGTATTACACCATAACGGTGAAGTAGTTATTTCCAGCTAAGGCCTCTAGAATTTCCTCAATTCTCGGAATCGCATGGGAATCTTTTATAGTTCTCTCATTTAATTGACGGTAGTCCACACACATTCTTAATTTCCCATCCTTCTTATGACAAAGTACAATATTCGATGCCCATGGAGAAAATGATTGCCTTATTACACCACTAGCTAACAACTGATGTATATGATTTCTTACTTCCTCATACATGGCAGGTGGAATACGCCGGTGTTTCTGTTTAAAAGGTCTCTCATCTACCAATTCTATTCTGTGTTTTACTATCTTAGTTGTTCCTATAGCCAAATCATCCTTGGACATGATGTCAACATACTTTCCTATTAAATTCTTTCCCTGTTGTACTTCCTCAGGTGTTAAATCATCAGTACATATAGTTACTCCCTCTTCTGTAATGAGCTTGGACGTTTCAGCATCAACCTTTTCTTCTTCCTCAAATCTTGTTAAATTCTCTATAGTGACTGGGTGTAACTCACAAAAAATTGCATTTGGTGATATAGTCACAGTTCTGGTTGAGATATTGGATAAGTGAACATCAGCATTTTTGGTTTGCCCATATGTGTATGGCACTATAGTTGGTGTAATGTCAATATCATCTGGGATTAAAGAACCCTTGGTTGACTGGACCAGACAGCAAACTGGGTGGTATGGTAGTTGCTTATCCAGATACCCTCTTATTCTAACTTCAGTATTTGGTTCAATCAGAATACGTTTCGTCTCAGCTGATTTCATAATGGCCAATCTGTGGTTTTGCTTCTTAAGTTGTTTCTCTCTAAGGTTAAAACAACGTAAAGCCATGTACACTGGTGTATAAAGCTGTGCACTTTGTAAATATTTGTCACCATAAGTATGCTCCAACTGATCAATGTAAGACGCCAATATATTAGTTCCTACTAATACTGGTACTACTGAATTATACTTACTATCTGGTACAATAAGAAATATACCATTGGGTAAAGTAGTGTCTGTATTAGTCTTGCCTTTCTTACTTAGTATGTTAAGATCAACCTCTATATATCCTTCATAAGGTAACTGATTACCATCAGCACATTCTATACTAAGTACTTCTTGAATAGATTGTAGTTGTATATCTGACAAATTCTCTAAATAAAACTTTTAAGAAATGGTAGAAACAGTTGATCCTGTATCTAATAATCCTTGAGTAGGGATACCTCCTACAATAATATCAGTCTCATTGGCAGATCCCACCAAAGTACTACTATATCGGTTGGGATGCTGTGGTCTATGGTCGACTATTTGCCCCTCAATGTCGACCTGTTGGAGTTTAAACCTGCCTTTCTATTGTTATCTAATCTAACAAAGCATCCATATGCTTTGTGACCTTCTTGTCCACATCTCCAACATACAGGTATGCCATCTTGTGTAAATTCTCTCTTGCTTTGACTTGGTGCATTATTTCCATATGATGAGTTTTGGTAATTTGCTCCTTGTCCTTGATTTTGATAGTTTGATCTTTGTCCTTGATTCTGATAATTTGATCTATTTCCTTGGTTCTGATAATTTGATCTATTACCTTGATTATGATAGTTTGATCTATTTCCTCTATAATTAGTATTGCTATTCCTGAAATTTGAACCACCTCTATTGTTGTTTTGGTATCTGTTGCTGTATTGTGTGTCTCTCTCTTTAAGATCTTTTACATCAGTAATTAATTGATGTATCATTGAAGTAAATTCTGACTGGGTATTATCATCAGTTCCAGTTTGTGTCATCATTTTGGCTGGCTGAGGTCTAGCTTCCTTTTTAAAATCAACTTCTTGTTCACGCATGGCCAACTTAAGTTTATCAAAATCTTTGATCATGAAATGAAGATGTCCTGAAGTTTCACAGAGTTTTGGATCTAAACCACTCCAAAACATAGAGTCTTCAGGCCTTACTAGTTTCTGTTTACTTGCTTTATATAAAAGATCTTCTAATCGGTTAGCCCAAGCAGTAATATCTTCATTTGGCTTTTGTGTAGCACTATAAAACTCCTCCATTAATTTGTCATGTTGTATAGACAATCCATAATTTACTTCAAGTTTAGTCAAAAGTTGGTCTAATGAAGCTTCTGGACCTAATCGCATAGCTACTTTTTCAGCTTCACCTCGCAAAGAACGCCTTATTAATAAATCAACAATGTGTGGTGCAAAGGTTGATTTTCGCAAAGAATCCACTTCATAACGCCATAAATCATATTTAGCTTCTCCTTTTCCCGGTTCACCAAAGAATGTCGATATTCTTGGTGTATAATTCGGTAAGGATGTAAGTGTTTGAACATTTCCAGATGACATTACAGCTGGATTAGATGTAACTGAGGATGTTACATTTGTAGTAGTTACTGGTATAGATTGAGTAGTTCCTAATTTATTTAATATTTCAATATTTGGTTTTATTTCAGGTTGCTAAGTGGTGTCAGCCTGCTTAGTTGCTTCAGCTTGCTTAGTTGCTTCAGCTTGCTCGATTGCTTCAGCTTTCTTGAGTTCCTCAACTTGCTTACTTGCTTCAGCCATTTGTGCCAACCATATCTTAAGTCCAGTGGTGGAGGTAGTTTTTGGCTTAGCTCCAAGTTTATCAAATGCACTTAATAACACAGCTCTTTCTTCCAGTGTTAACTCTTCCTCTTTTTGAGGTGTATCTTCCTTGGAGTTCTTTAATGGACTAGCCATGTTATATAGAAAAAAAATAAAGCTGACAAATTATCTCCCTTTAAATCTTGTTATTTGATTTGTTTTCAACCTTTTATTATTGTTATTTTCAAGTTATCTCCCTTTATATATGGCTGATGTTACTACTTGTAATGTACAAAGATCTCCATAACACAAAAACAAAATTTCAAAATAGTAGAAATGTTTCAAATATCAGGCAGTCTCATATATATTATAACTAAATGCTTAAATTGTGATGCGATGTAGTTTAGCTTGGCAAAACCCAAACTTACTACTAACTATACTGTAGTTGTGGATGTAGTTTAGCTTTGCGAAACCAAACTGACTACTATACAGTTTTAACGCAATATAATGTTTGTCTGTCTAATGCCAACAATCCTTTAGTATCTGCTCAGTTATCTTTTTGAGCCAAGTTACTGCTAATAACTTCTTTGGGTGTATACCGTCCTTGTATAAATTAAATTATGATGACGTTTTGTTAACTTATTATGACACAATCCTTTCTTGTATTTTGTATTGCAAGCTAGATCTGATGAAAATTTTGGCGAATAGCTGCCAATGCGGTTGTTAATCAGCTTAATTTGTTTATTAACTTGAACTATTTGCTCCTCCAGTTCAATATCCTGTTACAATATAGATTTAGGCGGGAAAACTATATCCAACCACAAAACAAAGGAATCTAGAAATATCCAACCAATAGAAAGACTCAAACAAGACACACCTTAAACTACTCACAACTCACTTGACCATAACACCTCTGGAAAATTCCTAATTCCAATGTATAGTTAAATATAACAATACATGTACTATAAAGATCAATCATAGCCTGAAGACAAAATCAATACTTTGTCAAGTAGATGATTAAAATATATTTCTTTTAAACAAAAGAGAACTGTATCAGTCAAATAACTTTAAAATATAATTTTATTCAAATATCAAATATTCATATGTAATAAAGCATATTCTATAAATGTATTATAAAATATGAGAAATACACATTATCACACTTGTATGGTATTTTTCATCTAATCCTTCCAACAGAAATACACTGGACGTTAAGCAACCAACAATCAATCAATCCAACAGAAATATATGATATATGATGTACCATTAATTTTGTATAATTCAGTTTTTATACAAGCTAACATAGATACTGGAAATTCAATAGATAATTATAACTTTTACATGTATTGTAGAAAAGAGATGCCAGCCGGTAAATAATTCCTCTGAAATCATCAAGGATTATATCTTTAAGGCTAGAAGTCTAATGGAGAAACAGAGAACAAGAAGTGCTATATTGTTATTTGAAGAGGTTCTTGTCATTGACCCTAAAAACAGTGCAGCCTTCACAGGACTGGGTAAATTGTATAGAACAAATATCGTTATAGTACAACTTTTTTTATGCCCCCGCCATAGCGGAGGGGGCATTAAGTTTTACCCTTGTCCGTCTGTACGTATGTATGTACATCCATACATCCCAAAATTGGTTTCCATTCTCTAACTTGAGTTTGCCTAAACCAAATGTTATCAAACTTATACACAATGCTTATTACCACAAAATACAGATCAAGTTTGAATTTTGGTGGTGTCACTTTAACCCTTCTAGAGTTATGCCCCTTTATAAATGAAAAAAATTACAAAATTTTTAGTTTCCATTCTCTAACTTAAGTTTGCCTCTACCAAATGTTATCAAACTTATACACAATGCTTATTACGACAAAACACAGATCGTATTTGAATTTTGGAGGGGTCACTTTAACCATTCTGGAGTTATGCCCCTTTATAAATGGAGAAAAAAAAATGCAAATTTTTTAGTTTCGGTTCTCTAACTTAAGTTGCCTCAACCAAATGTTATGAAACTTATACACAATGCTCATTACCACAAAACACAGATCAAGTTGAATTTTGGTGGCGTTATTTGACCATTATCGAGTTATCCCCCGTTATAAATAGAAAATTGCAAATTTTTTAGTTTCAGTTCTGTAACTTATTTTATGATTGATTGGTGTTTAACGTCACTTTCAGCTCTATTGGCCAATTAGTGGCAGTCAGTTTTTATTGGTGGAGGAAGCAGGAGTGCCCAGTAAGAACCATGACCTTCGCTAAGGAAACTGACAATCCTTGTCAATTAGTATTGGAGTCAAATGCACATGCCACATGTGGGGTTCGAACTCACAACCTCAGTGTTGACAGGCTAGTGATACAGTAGTTGAACTACTTAGACCACTAGGCCAACAAGGCCTCTCTTTTTTATGAACCTAAAGCTGAAATAACAAAAGAAACAATGTGCCCCATGTTTTCCAACTATCCCCCATTTTAGGTGCAGATTACAGTAACTATTTATATAAATGAATTGAATTTTACTATTGACATTGGTCTTATAAAATAACAGGAGACAGAACAATATAAGTTCTAGCTGCTAGATTCTGAATCCAATTTAAAATATAAATTTCCTATAAAGGAGAAGGTATGATAAGGCTATTTTTTTGCCCCCCTGAATTTGAAAATCAAAAAGTATTATAAATCTACCAAATAAAATCCTTCAGATGTATATCTGGCTGACATCAGTATTTATTTTTAGCTCACCTGGCCCAAAGGGCCAAGTGAGCTTTTCTCATCACTTCGTCGTTATCGTCCGTCGTTATTTTTTACAAAAATCTTCTCCTCTGAAACTACTGAGACAAATTTAACCAAACTTTGCCACAATCATCATTAGGGTGTTTAGTTTTAAAAATGTGTCCAATGACCCTGCCTACCAGTTTTAAAAAATGTGTCCGATGACCCCGCCTACCAACCAACATGGCCGACATGGCTAAAAATAGAACATAGGGATAAAATGCAAGTTTTGTCTATTATTTTTTGAACCGTTATAAATAGAGAAAATCTGAAAGGAGCAAAAATGTTCAGAATAATGAGCTCTACCAATTGTTCATATATATGTCAAAATTGTTAGACAAATTCTGATAGGAGTTATTGCCCATAAATGACAAATTTTACCATTTTTTTTTTCATTTTTGCCTATTACCATGAAAACTATGATATTTAGAGAGAAACAATTTTTTTCCGTTATGCCTTATATGATTTAAATTATAATAGATAAATAGACACTTTAAATCACAAAAATGATCAGCAAGGCAAGATTTATTAAAAAGTCAAATTTTGCTGATATAGTTAGTAGACTGTCACTCTTCATAGGAGTGATTGCCCTTAAATGAGAATTGTTTTACCCTCTTTTGTGTTTTGTGCAAAAACTTAAGAAGATAGAGAAAAACTAAACAGACTAAAAGATAAGTAATACAAGATCAACAAAATAGAGATTTTTGTCATTAATTCTATTCTCGTCTACAATGATGGAGAGTGTCCTAGGCTTTGTTTGATATGCACGTAGACCAAGGTGAGCGACACAGGCTCTTTAGAGCCTCTATTTAATGGCTCACATATTGATATTGGGGCTTAAAACTTCTTACATTCAGTGCCAAATAGCCAAAACTGCCAAAATAGCTTCATTTTGAGATATTGTTGTTTATATTTAGATATTAGCATAAACAGCTTTTCCCAAAAAGATATTTTGCTACAAAATTTATTTTACAAAGATGGTAATGTGTGTAAAATATATTATTGAGTAAAGCAGTTGCTCATATTTATTTTGACCTAAAAGTATTGGTGAAATTGTAGGTCGAGTGGCAACACAAGTGACCTTTCAGCACTAAAGTGTCCAGATTATATTAACCTGCTTATTTATCAATAAAATTAACACATAATTTTGAAAGGCTTGAATCAATTTATTTTTTTTACAATTTCAAGGGTCAAATAATGGCACTTATCATACCTCCTCAATTATATGCAGAATTTGTCAAAATATCTGCTCAGTCCCAGAAAATGGTACCCTTGAAAAACAATTAATTCACAATAGAATTTTTTAAGTCTTCCTCCAATACATGTTAATTTTAGTAGGAGCTTTATATCATTGACATCCTCTTGAAAAGAAATTTTGTTATAAAATGTTACAACTGATTTGCCAAGCTCTTAATATTTTCTAGGCTATAATGGGATTAACCTCCAATATTTGAACTTTTTTTGTTTTATGTTTTACCTCCAAAATTTAAACCTTTTTAACTGAAGTCTATTTTCTGGAGCTTTTTCTTTGAATTGATTATGAAAAAATCCTGCTTGGGTTTTTCAATCAGATTCGTGGCAGTTCTCACACTTTCAGGATTTAAAAAGGGCAAATTTGACAAAACTTAAACTTTCACACTGTAAATTGATCCTGCATTACTCTTAAATTTTCAAGCAAAAAATTTAAAAATGTGTTAGTGACCAATTACTTATTCTGTTATTCATCTATCTTTGTCTTAGATTTTGATGAGAATAGAAAGATAACAAAGTTGGAAACTAGTCATAAATGCTTGTTTTAAAATTTTAAAATTTGCCATTTGGAGATCCATTGTTGATCTGGCCAGGGTCAAGACTCTGAATATACAATTTTAATGTCTTAACAGTTTAATATAAAGTCTTTTATGTTTCTTTAGTTGACTGTTATTTGCAAGCAAAACGACCACAGAAAGCTTTATTTTATCTCAGACAGTTACAGAAATTACAGATAACAGATACAACCAGCCAGGTTTTATTTCGGTATGCATTTGTATATTCTTGAAGATAGAATAAAATGGGGGAATAATGATACCATAAACTTTGTTTGTGCTAACATTTTTTGTCTTTGATATTTGCCGTGAATTTAGAATTTGGAGTGAAATGTTCATGATATTGTTCAAGATATGCATAAATATCTTAAAAATAGTTTGGTTAATAAAAATGATGGCTGACTGAAATTGCACATGGAATTTTCCAGTCACTGAGTCAGGGAAAATTAGTAAACATTTGATATATGTATCTCTTTTCATCAATAAAAGAGGAGCTTTTTGGCTCTGTAAATAGGCCTCAAATTAAAAACATGAATTATACCATTGGTTACATTTTGAAACTTTTAAATATGGACCTTTACCAAAATGTAAGTATTATGATAGTCTTGATGATTGTTACTTTATTAAAGTGATGTCATAGTTGTAATTTACACACTTTTAGCTAAAAATATGCTAATTCAGGAAATATTTGGCTCAGTAGTTTGTCACCTGAAGTAGGCGATATTATCCATATTTCAAACTTAAATAGCAATGTTCAGAGTTTGCTCAACTTTTAATTTTTTGGTCAGATATAGGACTGACAGAATGAAAAGTTTTGCTGGTCTTTCAAAAAATTTGTTGGTTTTAAATTTTCGAAATTGCATCAATGAGATTTTATGCTTGAAAGCTAGAGAATCAGAAAATTAAATGAAAGTACAATAACACGGTTTTGTTAGACAAAACATGTGGATTACAGTTTAGGGTTTCCATTCAGAAAAAAAATTAAGATCAGTAGATCAGAATTTTCCAAATATGGGGGAAGTTTCTGAAAGAATGGTGATCATGAATTTTAAAGGATAGGGGCTTATATAGAGTGATAGGGAATTTTAAATTTTAAAGAATGGGACTTTTATAAATGCATGGGGCACACTGTGCATAAACTCTGTAGGGGAAACACTGTGCTCAAATTAAGTATTTCTATGTGTATTGAAAAAAAAAACTTTTTTGAATTTCATATGAACATTTGCTAGACAGTCAAATATTCTGAAGATGCAAAGCAGTAATTTGTGTTATTGTACATTGATTTGGTTGAATTGATTCATAGTTCACATTGAAGCAGTTGATTATGAAAAGAGAGAATCTTTTTGTATTAGACTAGCACTGGATATGTACGACTATATTATTTTATTAAAAAATTCAGAAAATCCAATTTATGTTTAGAGCATAGAAAAAAGTTAAAGTTAAACAAAATGGATGGAAGATCTTCATTTCTTAGATAACTGAAAAAATAGCAATCCTTTATTTTGATAAGAACATTGTCAAATAGGTAGATATATCATACATACCATAGGATTTCTTTTTAAAAAAAATGGTGAAATACATTGTAATTTCTTTTAGATTTGCACAATGTTATTTGAAATTAGATGAAGCAGATAAGGCCATTGATGTTCTCCAAAAGTATTGTATTGATTTAAAGAAGAGTGGTGGTACAGACACACGACGTAAACACCAGGTTCAGGTATGAAACAGCATATATCTTAGCAAATATTTCATCATCTAACAGTTTACCCGGTAGATAAATACTCCTCTTGAGATTTGATATTTAACTAAAATAAAAGGATAGCACATGAATGACTTATGCTGTAAAGAATTCAGTTTAAACATTGGCCACATAATGCTAAAAAATACATTGCTGTATGTAAATTAGACATGAACATTTTGAAGACATCTAAGATTTATTATTTCGCCTTGACGGAGTCAAAAAGCAAGACATAGGTATGCTGTCAACAATGTATTAGTTTGTGATTAGGTCTAGTTCATGGTGAACCACTAGTGGTAGGTCAATGATATTTGGTATGCAGTTGTATTAGCATTGGCACATCTCATTACCATGGAGATTATTTGGCCCCGCCCCCTCAATCAAGGTCTATTGACTTTGAAACTTTGCTTCTTTTACATGTATTAGTTTGTGTTTAGGTCTAGTTCATGGTGAACCAGTAGTGGTAGGTCAATGATATTTGGTATACAGTTGTATTAGCATTGGCACATCTTATTTCCATGGAGAATATTTGGTCCTTACTCCTCAGTTAATGGGTTATTGACTTTGAAACTTTTGCTTCTTTTACATGTATTAGTTTGTGTTTAGGTCTAGTTCATGGTGAACCAGTAGTGGTAGGTCAATGATATTTGGTATACAGTTGTATTAGCATTGGCACATCTTATTTCCATGGAGAATATTTGGTCCTTACTCCTCAGTTAATGGGTTATTGACTTTGAAACTTTTGCTTAGTTTACATATATTGGTTTGTGATTAGGTCAGTTCAAGATGAACCACTAATGTTAAGTCAATGATATTAAGTATGCAAATGTATAAGCATTGGCATATCTCATTTCCATGGAGATTATTTGGCCCTGCCCCCTCATTCATGGTCTATTGACTTTGAAACTTTTGCTTAGTTTTCATGTATTAGTTTGTGATTAGGTCAGTTTAAGGGTAACTGTTAGTGGTAGGTCAATGATAATTGGTATGCAGTTATATAAGCATTAGCACATCTTATTTCCATGGAGAATATTTGGTCCTTACCCCTCAGTCATGGTCTATTGACTTTGAAACTTTTGTTTGTTTACATGTATTGGTTTGTGATTAGGTCAGTTCATTATGAACCACTAATGTTAAGTCAATGATATTCGGTATGCAAATGTATTGGCATTTGCAAGTTTCAGTTCCATGGAGATTATATAACCCCACCCCCTCATTCTGGTTCATTGACTTTGGAACTTTTACATAGTTTACAAGTTAATGTTTGTGTTTAGGTTTGTTTAAAGGGAACGACTTATGAAAAGTCAATGGTATTTGGTTTGCAGTTGTATTAGCATTGGCACTTCTCATTTCCATGGAGATTGTTTAGCCCTGTACCTTCAGTCATGGTTCATTGACTTTTAATATTTGCATAACTTACATGTTAAAGTATTGCTATTTTAATTTCAACATTTGCATTATCAAAATAACAAATAGGCGAGACATATCTCTGTGTAAACAGTTTATTTTAATAAACTAGGATAAACACTGCTTACCATGAAGCTTAAAAGTCAATAGCAAGTTTGGAAATTTTGAATCCATGGACAATACGTTGTTTGAGAAATGTGTTTAACTTGCCATGTGTGTGTTTATACCCCTGCCGAAGCGGAGGTGGCATTAAGTTTTACCCTTGTCCATCTGTCTGTACTTCCCAAAATTGGTTTCCGTTCTCTAACTTAAGTTTGCCTCAACCAAATGTTATCAAACTTATACACAATGTTTTTTACCACAAAACACAGATCAAATTTTGGTGGCATAACTTTAACCGTTCTAGAGTTATGCCCCTTTATAAATTTTTCATTTTTTTTCTGAAAATATCAATGATGTCATTGTTCCAGTAATTTTTAAAATTTGAGTTATCTTCCTTTGTCCATGATTATAGTTGAATCAACTACAATCAATGCTTTATACAATGCAATGTTTAATTTTCCTTCCACTGATAAAACACAGATCAAGTTGAATTTGGGTAGTGTCACTTTAACCATTATTGAGTTATGCCCCTTTATAAATCGAAAAATTGCAAAATTTTAGTTTCCGTTTTGTAACTTAAGTTTGCCCCAACCAAACATGAAACCTATACACAATACTTATTACCACAAAACTAAGATCAAGTACAAATTTGGGTAGCGTCACTTTTATTGTTCTTGAGTTATGTCCCTTTATAATGTTGTATGCAAGCGGGGGCATCATCTGTGTCCATGGGGACACATTCTCCATTTTTTTAGGCAATGCCTTGTGGCTGTATAAAGATTAGCATTGATCTAACTTTGTATAAATTAAAAGGAAAGGGCTGAAATACTGAGCAGAATTGAGCATAGTGTTTTAGAAATCATGATTAAGAAACTAGATCAGTAAAATATTTGATCAGAATATTTTCAGATACCTTGAATTCATTATCATTCATGGGATACCAATTTTCGTGGGTAAAGATGAACCATAAATTTTAAAAAATTCATTAAAGTCATATTTTCAATAGGATTGTATCTCTTTATTTTTATATTGTATACAGACTATGGAAAAAAATAGGAAATCAAATATCCACGAAAATACAACTTTTCCTCCAACAAAAATTTGTATCCACAGTATGCATATATTGTTGTTAAGAACCAGTTGCAGTCATTATTGGAAGAATTTTTACTGTTAGGTTTTTTACTTAAAACTTCGGAATCTATGATGAGTTTATTTACAACCACTGGGTCGATGCCGCTGCTGGTGGTATTCCCAGAGGGTATCACCAGCCCAGTAGTCAGCACTTCTGTGTTGACATGAATTATCATTGATATGGTCATAATTATAAATTAACTGTTTACAAAACTTCGAATTTTTGAAATACTAAGGCTTTTTCTACCTCAGGAATAGATTACCTTAGCTGTATTTGGCAAAACTTTTAGGAATTTTTGGTCCTCAATGCTCTTCAACTTCTTACTTTATTTGGCCTTTTTAACTTTTTTGATTCGAGCGTCACTGATGAGTCTTTTGTAGACGAAACGCGGGTCTGGCGCAAATACAAAATTTCAATCCGGGTGTCAATGATGAGTTTACTGTGGATTCAGTTTTATTCGTGGCATACCAATTTTCGTGGGTTTCGTGGGTCACAGCAAACCACGAATTTAAGAATTCAACGAAGAATAATCCTGAGAAATGTGTATGGAGTCGGATGTTTATTTCCGGTTATTTTATGCAGTTCTAGCATAGTGTTGACTAGCGATAAACATTGTAACATAACACGTGTTTTTATTGAAAGAAGATAACAGTATTTTGATTAAATCAATAATAAATATATCGAATATCAGTGATAATTTACTTTTTAAAATCGATTAAAACTGTTCATGGAAAATAACTGCAAGTTGTTAATTAACGTGTCATAGTTTGGTTTACTGGTGATTAAAAATCAATAGGATTAAGTACGGGGATATTGCCCGTAGGTAATATTGTTTATGACAGGAACATTTATTTTCACACCCTTTACTTAAAAAATGTATTGATAAACTTTTAATAAGATAAATCCAGTAATACACAAATTGTTCTTATAAGAAAATTCCAATAAATTGCCGTTGAAACATATTTGTTTACTTAATTCTGGACAAAACGACATTTTTTCGTAGAAATATTGTAAATGAAGAATGAAGAAAACAAATTGCATTTCAAATAAAACTAAGAAAAATTGTCGATTAAGCCTGCATTTTTGTTTATTCTGGACAAAAACGACATTTGTTTTCGAAATAAAATTTTACTCATAACCGGAAGATGAGTTAATTGTATCACTGATGTATGGCTTGGGTTCTAGCTTGGGCTACAAACTTCGTAAGCGGCGAATTTCTTACCGTTGACCATTTTCTAATATGACTGCTAATTATATCATGATTAGGGAAATAAGCTTTCAATCAGTTGGTCATCATAGAGTTTTGAATGCCTTATAAAATTCCGACAAGAATTTATAAATTGTAAAACAAAGAAATAATTAGTTATCTCTGTCCACAATTGTAATCAAAGTTTTCAATGAACACTTTAACCTAGAATGACCAAGCCAGGATTTTGACAATTCAAAACTTTTTCAATGAATTCTATTTTTTGTTTTATTATTGATCAAACAGAAATCCACGACTTATGTATCTTAATTTTTTTTTTTAAAAAGCTATCCACGAATTTACGTATACCACGAAACGTCTTTTTTTCTATATCCACGAAAATTGATACCCACGAAAATAAATGAATCCACAGTATATTCAAAGAAGTTTTAAAATATCAGTTGTAGAACCTTTTTGGACATAATTGTGAAAAGCATTGCAAAGAGAATGGTACAAGTATTGAGTAAATAAGTTGTTTTTAATGTACCATATGGAAATACTTAGCATAAGGAATTTAATGTAGGACAAAAGAGAATGGGAATGAGAATCAAAAGAAAATTTTATTATTTTTCAGGTTTTATTAGCAAAAGCCTATCTGTTAAAAGGAGAAAAGGATATGGCCATAGTTATATTGCAGGTAATTTTTACTTTCATCCAATCTTGTCAACTAGACAGTACAACTACATTATTATGTATTGGGCCAAAATAGTCCAGATTCAACAACAAACAAGTGTCTGCTAGTCTGGTGCCTACCTAATATAAGGAAGAATTTTGACTACCAGATTTCAATACACCGTGCAAATGATTTGTTTTAAAGGTCTATTTGCAATTGTTGGCCTCATTATTTTTTAGCTGTTCTGTTTCCATTTGCAGTACTATCGCACACAAAAAGCTTGTGTTAAACCCTGAATTGAAAATGAGCCATCTGCTGTAAAATGGACATTGGTCTACATATAACATCATTGGAAGATATATTACTTTGTCTGTTAGATGTTAGAATCTTGGCTATCTCCTCCTGACATGTATTACTTTCCTGCAATCATACTTATAACTTTGTAACATCAGAACTGAAAATGTTGTCATACAGTTCAGTAAAAAAAGTAACTGTATGATATTTATTGTAAATCAAGTTTCAAGTGTTACAAAACCCCAAATTGAAATAAGTTTTTTTTTTATATACTATTGCAAAAGTTTAAGTGAAACTCAATTGGTCATAGAATATGAAACACTCTCTAAGTCATGTGCTTTGTACATTTCAGGGAATTTTGAGACATGATAAAACTTTTGTTGATGCTTTGATAGAATATGCACCCCTTTTGTACCCTCTAGGCCCAGCCCAGAGTGAAGAAGCAATGACAATTTTGTTAACACTACTAGCAAATCACAAAGGTAAATATACTGTTGAACTGAATGAAATATTTATCATTACTGTTTCATATTTTATTTGTGATGTTTATACAAAGTCCTCATAAATGGTCCTGATTATTTTTAACTGTTATTTGTTCCATGTTTGACTAGAGTACCGATTCTGGATTGTAGATATACTAAAAATCCATTCATAATTTGTTGTAATGTTGTACTTAATATTTAAGTGTCTGTTGTTTATACTGTACATATTTCACCTTTGGTCAGTGGATGTGTGTTTTGTAATAATGAAAAGTATATAACGCCTGAGTAAGCATCCAGAAAAACAGTTACCTCCTTGCAAAAATCTTTTGACCTGACATTAAAAACCTGTCTGAGTATAAGTCTAACTTGCCGAAATGTGTGCCCAATGAACAAAATCTTCAAAGTCACACATAATGAGTTCTTAAGACAATTAATTTAAGCAACATTTTAATTATCCTGATTTGCTTCAGAACTCTCCATTTGAACTCATGATATGTAAAATTAAGCATTTAGTACTCATATCAACAATATAATCAACATAATTCAAAATCCTGCTCTATCCCATTATAAATAAACTTCTGTGTAAATACATGTATTGCGTAGCAGTGCCAGTTGTATCCAGGTTTGAATGAAACATAAATCATAAATGATCTATAACTTTTATTATTTTATATTCATCACTTAATTTTGGCCCTTGGGGAATCTACTCAGCTATAATTAAAATTTTTGCTCCATGCCTAAGCCAAGAGCCTATGTGCGTACTGAAAAGTAGCAAAGTAAAGACACCTGGCTTGACATCACACCAATCCAATTGGATCTATGGTACCAAATAAAAGCGTGAGGCTATCAGAAAGCATATGAGGCTATCAGGAAGCCTATGAGGCTATCAGAAAGCCTATGAGGCTATGTCTGAGGAAGCCTATGAGGCTATGAGGAAGCCTATAATGATGCTATGAGGAAGCCTAGTATGTGGCTAAAAGGAAGCCAAGTAGTGTTGATGTTTAATTGGTGTTGGAATGAATTTGTATGAAATTTGACAGTTTATCCCCAGAAATTCTTGGGGAATGAGTGAAATTATTGAAACAACCAGTGATAAAATTTCATAAATGTCCATAACACAGATGGTAACAGCTGAGTGTCCCCAAGGATTTGTGATGTAAGGGAGGGGATACCTTCAATAAAGCCATGAGAAAAAAGAAAAAAAATATATATATAAAATACACACAAAACATAAAAGAAAAGCTAAGAATAATCACATAATGATAACACATAAAAAACAAACTTTAGTCACAGAACAATACTGAAACTACTTTGAAAACATTCATGCATATTTCTTCTTATTTTATATATATGGAGAACTTGAGAAATAACATTTTCTTAAAGCTACCTAACCTACTTTGAAAAGATTTAATAGATACTTGTGTTACTAAATACATCTACTGTAAATATCTGAAGACCAGCTTGATCTTCTATTTGTCTTTCCAGCTCTAGAAGCTGTCCCTATTCTAAAGCTATTATCTGAGTAACATATAAGTAAATAATGTCTTTCTTAAATTTCTTATCAATGGTTAAGAAAAGTGGGTCAGTTTGATGGATAGGAGTAAATTCCTACATTACTGTGTAAATTCTAATAAAATCTTGTATGGGCAGATAAGTATTAATTTAATTAAGCCATAATTTATGTAGCTGAATGCTTATGCCCTTTTTTATTATGGATACTGAGTGAGCAGAAGTGTACAGATTATGTAGAGTGTAAAAATTCATTCTTATATATAAGGGCATATAATGGAATCTATGTCTATACTCTGTTATTCCGTTATTCTGAAATTCTTGATTTTTTTTCCATGTACCATAGATATTGGTCTGATTTTTTGTTACATTAGTGTATAATGATGACTTATGGATTGAGAACGTGTTTTGTTCTAGTTGACAGACTTTTTGTGGAACTACTGTCCTTGGACTTAGTAAATTGTACTCCTCTTTACTATTTTATAGTTTTGTAATGTCTGTAGATTTAAAGCTATTTTTGGTACATTATATAGTAATGATGAAAAAGTAGTGCGGGCAAAACATAAGCATGCTGTTTCTGGCAGTGTTGGCTGCATTAACAATTTGTTTAAGTTTTTGATTTGGTAAGTTTAGACAAACCACATATGGTAAGTCAATGATATTTGGTATGCATTTGTATAAGTATTGGCACATCTCATTTCCATGAAGATTTTTTACCCTGCCATGGTCTATTGACTTTGAAACTTTTACCTAGTTAACATATTAAAGTTTGTGATTAGGTCAGTTTTAGATGAAACACTAATGGCAAGTCAATGATATTCATTATGCAGTTGTATCAGCATTAGCATATCTGATATTAATGGGGATTATTAGCTCCGTCCCTCAGCCATTGTATATTGACATTGAAACTTTTGCATAGTTAACATATTAAAGTTTGTGATTACGACATTTTAAAGGGGACCACAAAGATATTTAATATGCAGTTGTCAAAGTGTTGGTATATCTCATTTCCATGAAGATTTTGTGGGCATGGTTCATTGAATCGGCATGTTTTGTGAAGTTTACATGTTACTAGCAAAATTACATTATAACATACAGACAACATATATCTCTGTGTCAACAGTTTATGTTTTAGTTGACCAACTTTTTTGGAAAATCCAAGTTGAACTTTATTTCTGGTGGTCAACATTTGTTGTTCTGGTTGAATGACATTTCCCATTCAACAAATCCACAATGATATTCTAAGTTTTGCCATATATGCCACAGTATATATCCAAAAACATAATGTTGTCATTGTATATCCCTGATACACCTAACTTCCAAAACGGTCATATATTCCGGACATTTGTATAATGTCTGGTAAAAGTCCGGCTGGGCAAATCATGAAACGGTCATCTATTTTTTAGTTTTCAAGGCTTTCTTAAGAGACGGTCATTTTAACATAATTCGCAATCTTTTTGACCCAACCTTTTGCCTTTAACAGCCACACATTTCCGGTCATAAAAGTGACATCATCATTAAGTACTATCTAAACAACCCCTACTTTAATACCTTCTCATTTTAATCAAGGCTAATTAGTTGTCGAACAGCTGAAATTTACCTGTTCAGGTGACAGGTAAACTTTTTTGAACCAGACATTGATCGGTCTATTCAAAGTTATTTTCTTACATTTCAGCGGTTTGCATCTAATTAATTTAGTCAAAAAGATTAAAATTATCAGAAATATGTTTACAAATATGATTTGAAGAAAAAACTAAAAAGGTGAAAATTAAAAATCGTCATAACCACGTTGTTTGAACCAGAAACATGTCTCTGTTTGAACTAGTACACGTGTGCGCAGGTGTGAAATTCAATTCTGCATCCTAATTTCTTCAAAAATGCTTAAATTGTCATTGATACCTTTATCTCACGTTTATTTCGAATATTTTCTTGAAGAAATAACGTAAAGCAAACATAGATTATCTCATGTAAGCTCTTTCTGTTATCTTCTATGGTAATATGCTTATCAACAGATTTATTAATTTGTTTCAGATAATAGCTACATTAGAGAGAAATTTACATGGGCTTGTCAACAACAACATGGTCTTACCATCTTAGAGAGGTTTGTTATTTTATAGAATTGACTTCATCAATACAAAACATTAAGGTATACTGACCATAATTGTCCTCATGATAATTAGGGATTAGCCCATTAATTGACAGAAGACCTATAGTAATCAGCTTCTCAGTGTGTCAGTACATCACTATTGTTTCAGCTCTCTAACTTTAAATATTCTTGGAGTTTGGTAATAAAACTGTGCATGATAATCCACAACTACTAGAAGATGTGTCACATTTAAGAAAGAAAACCATACAATAAAAGTCATGGTCAAAAACGTAGTTTAACTCACCCCTATGCATACGTACAAAAATCATTTCAGATAATTTCATTTGTATAAACCGCGGAGTGGAGTGAGACAAAACAAATTTGGGCAAACACCCTCTACCCCCACCCTCCACAAGGATCTGCCACTGCCAATAAGAAGCAAAACTCCTCCTAAACTGCTTGACAGATTTTTATGTAAATTGATACAGTTGTAGAACATCACCTGAAGATGTGCATAAATGAGTATTATCATTCAAACATTTTTATTGCGGTTATTTGGTAATAGTCTCTTGTCATTGGAATTTCTCCAAAACAGCTTGATGGAAATTATAACACTAGAAGATGCCAGCGAATTCGCGGTACAATTGGGCAAGTGTTGAAACAAAGCTACACATAAAAAGGGGGAGGGGTCTGGACGTCGGGTGCCTGTGTTTACACATAAAAAGGGGGGGGGGGGATCACTTCGACACGTTCAACGCCCATTTCATTTTTGGACAGTTCTGCACCTGAGTAAAAAGGGTGGATGTCGTTTAATTTAGCAAAATGATGCACTTGCAATACAATACAGGATCCTTATACCTTATAGGCCTAACTGTCATATTTTCTATCCTTTCTTCTTACTTTCACTTGGATTTCCCGGGCAGTACGTCGACTGAGCATGCACAAAAGCGTATAAGACATGGATCGATAACGGTCTCCGAATTTGGATATTTTCTCAAAAATTGGTGTTTTCTGTGGAAAAAAGATTGTTTCAAAGACAAATTTAGGAAGTACAAAACACTACATTTATATGTCATATCACAAATATTTTCGACTTTGTATGGTTTCAGAGGAGTTGAGGCTCAATTAATTTCCTTAATTGTAAATGTTTATAGACAAAAGTCATTATAATTGAGATATATACATATTTATGTATAACTTGTACTCATATATTTATGTATATCTTGTACTCATATATTTATGTATATCTTGTACTTTTAGTGTGGCAGGAAAAGCATGGTCAGACATAGCTTCTTTGGTGTTCATGGCTACATCTGTCAGAGAATGTGGAGGTACTTAAGTAAAAAATATCTTAAATTTTATTTAAAATATTTTAAAATTCAAATGTATTTTTAACCTCCTCCTATCACTTGATTAAGCAGAAAATCCAAGAAAATGGCTTCCTAATGGTTAAATGTGTTATAAACGTATAATTTGGGGTTTCTTGAAACAAAATGTTTTCTGTTTCGGGAAATTGTCTCAAACTTTTAAGTGCATTTACTTCAAGTTTATTGGTCTTTATCGGATAGTTTCCTCATTGGCAATCAAACCACATTTATTTTTAGGAGTTTGATGTTGTGTAAAAAAGAAAAAAACATTGACGTATTATGAAAATGAAAGAGCCTGGAACAGTTGCTGGCTGTTTGAAAATGAATAGATAGTTTGGATTATTATATGTTTTATAGTGAATATTTTTAAAAATTGAATGCTTTTTGTCTCAAACCACATTTATTTTTAGGAGTTTGATGTTGTGTAAAAAAGAAAAAAACATTGACGTATTATGAAAATGAAAGAGCCTGGAACAGTTGCTGGCTGTTTGAAAATGAATAGATAGTTTGGATTATTATATGTTTTATAGTGAATATTTTTAAAAATTGAATGCTTTTTGTCGAGCCTGTGACTTTTGTCGCAAAAGCGAGACATAACAATCCTACATTCCGGCGGCGGCGGCGTCCACAAATATTCACTCTGTGGTTAAAGTTTTTGAAATTTTAATGACTTTCTTAAACTATCCTGGATTTCTATCAAACTTGAACAGAAGCTTGTTTATGATCATAAGATAGTATCCAGAAGTAAATTTTGTAAAAAAAAGAAATCCTGTTTATCTGTATTTTACTTATAAATGGACTTAGTTTTTCTGCCAGTTAACATTACATTCACTCTGTGGTTAAAGTTTTAAAAATTTTAATAACTTTCTTAAACTATCCTGGATTTGTACCAAACTTGGACAGAAGCTTGTTTATGTTCAAAAGCTAGTATCTAGAAGGAAATTTTGTAAAAATTTATTTCCTTTTTTTCCTGTTATAAATGGACTTAGTTTTTCTTCCAGTTAACATTACATATATATACAGTCTGCATTTAAAGTTTTTAAAACATTTATTAGATTCATAAACCATCCTGGATTTTTACCAAACTTCAACAGAATCTTCTTACAATCAAAAGATAGTATCTAGAGGAAAATTTTTAATAATTTTTTCCCCATTTTTGTTGAGCCTGCGACTTTTGTCGCAAAAGCGAGACAAAGTGATCCTACATTCAGTCGTCGTTGGTCGTCGTTGGACAATCATCAAGCAATGTAAAAATTATCTTCTTTATCATTTGTTTATTCAATAAATTTATGTTTCAACTCTTTTATAAATCTATAGATTTGATTGCATACTGTATTCATTTTTTACAAGCATAACTTTTTTCATACATTTCAAACGTTTCATTTCATTAACTGTAAATCTATTATGTGCATTCCCCTATCACACTGAAAACATAGACAACAGCAAAAGTAGGCGAGACACTGGGTTCCGAGGAACCCTTATGAATTTTTATAATTTTATTGGGGTGTAAAAGCATTGACCAAAGCACATTTTGTATGAAGCGCAGAAGCGCTTCATATAAAAAATGTGTGCACGATCAGCGTTTTTACAACCCTATAGAATTATAATAGAAGCATTTAATTCTTATAATTACATTTTTATGCTACAACCATGAGATTAAAGAGTTATATCAAGCTTTTTGCTTGTTTTTCAATGTTTAACATTGTCAATATTGATTGGTAATTTTGATTACTACCTTTTTTTTCAATATATAAATACCTGCTGATATTTGTACTCATTGAATTCATATCCTTTTCTGTGGATTATTTCTGATTTAGACAATTCTGAAATGAATAGAAATTGTTTATAGCATCTTTACTGTATTGTAGAGTTAAACTCTGATCATGCATTGATGAGTAAAAAACAATATAATTTTAGCTGTTGAGGAGGCTATTTCTATCATGGAACATGCCTATGATTTGAAGAAGAGTGACTCACATACTCTGTTGACATATGTACACATGCTAGAGGTATTTATAGTAATGATACATATCAAGAGTAATTTTAGTCAAGCATCATACTTATATCTGTCCTTTTATTCTTTGTAATACGTTTGCTTCACATTAAACCAATGAATGCTTGGAATGACATGACAACAAAATTCCTGATCATCATTAAACACATGGAAGAGACTACAATGATGCCAAGACAAATGTATATTCATAGAAATCATTTAACTGGTTTGAAGTAATATCTTTCAACTAAGATAACCAAACATGTTAAAAAACAATTAAATAAAATTCAGAAACAAAAAAGAGAAAAATCATAATATAGCTGTCATGTTCAGTGTGAACATTTTCTCATAAAATAGGTGACCTCTGATTAAAGGATGATTTGGTTGAACATAATGCTAAAAGAGGGTTTACAATTGGATGTTAATTAGCTTGCATATTCTTTCAAGCAGAAAATTGGTTTTTAGCTATGTTGTAGTGATTATAGTGAAATATACCTTCAAATGTAGCTACAGTGTTTATTGATATTTGGGGGAATGTATCGTAAATTCTGAAATTATTGGGTACAATATTGCAATTTTTGAAGAATGGACAACATGTGAGATTAGTTAATGCAATGTCAGGAAAATTTGCATACAGCTATATGATATAGGTCTCAGAGTGCGAGTTCTTATTATTGCAATACTCACACAGTGGCATTATTCGCATTGATAAAAACATTGCAATAATTTCTGAATTTACTGAGTGGTCTGTTTTTGCTAAACACCAACTGTTTTTGTAAAGTATATAGTTAGACAGATTAGTTTTTAAGATTTATACAACAATCAGAGATGTTTCTATGATAATGATAATTTCCAGTAAAATAACATTTTTCATTTACAAAAAGGAGATTCACATATTTTAGCTGATAGGTAAACAAGACAATGGAATCGAGATAATAAAGAAGTACATAGAAGACTTCCCTGATATGACTATTGGTAGTTTTACATGCAGGAATTTACACAACTTTACCAAGTTCTTGTCTACTGAAAAGTTTTCTGCAGGTATGTTTCCATCAAATAGTACTTGAAATTCTGTGCATCTGTTTACAATGACAATATGTCTGACCTATAAAGATCCCCCCCCCCAAAAAAAAAATAATAAACATGGCCGCACCATTACTTAAAAATAGAAAATTTCATAAAAAGTATTCTAAAAATCTAACCTCAGAGAAATGATACATTTACTATCTTCTCTTCCCTTCAAATTATAGTTGATTCCAGATGCTATCAAACATGGCTACCGCTATTGCTGTAATCATTTGCCATTACCATTACAGGGGATCATAGACTTTTCCATAAAATTGTGATGTCATTAGAATAAGTGTTTGATGCCACAGTGCAAAAGTGATTGCATTAATTTTGTCAATCCCAGAATTCCAGTAGTAATAGGGTCTATAGGCCTTTACAGGTCCTCAGATTATTTTGTTATAAACAATGATATATAATTAATTATTTTTTAACATAAAACAAGTGTGGACACAGATCAGTGTGGATAGTATGATTGGATGTTTGACAGTGTTTTATATGACAAAAGGAGTTCTATGTTTTATGTTTTCTATGTATTAACTGTGTTGCACAATGACAACCAACATGAGCATTAGGGGTGTTGTTTATGTAATATTTAGTTTTTTATGTTCAACACGGGCATGGAAGAGATACTAATTGCATTAATTACCAAATGATTATGATAGAATATATATGTTCCACATCTTTGATTTTGGATACATTTTGTAGCTAGGAGAGGAACACATAATAGGTTCATTTTTTTCTTAATGTGATTTTTTTATATGGGAGATGGTATCTGAGAACATGTATTTGCTTACTATTTGTATGGTTCTATTTATATTACTTTGTGGGGGATTGTCAGTATCATAAGTAAAAGATTTCGGTTAAATGTGGAAATTGTTTCTCAGTTTAGAAGACATTTAATGTTTTTTAGTAATGACAATGCCTGACATTATGATTGGGGCTAGATGCGCTAGAAAGTGAATTTCTGTGTTATTTTTTACTAATTCTTTGAAAATATCTCCTCCAAAGCTGGTCAAAGCAAAAAAAAGTTTTGACCAGTATGAAAATGATATCAACAAAAGAACCTTTGTGAGCATGCTTCAAAGACTCATAACTAACTACAGAAGTCATATGATAAAATGTCAAGTGGATATTATGAACATCTACTTAATATGTCTAAATATCTAAAAAGTTTTAGTATTCAATATGAAAAAGCTATTGCAAAAGTATTCTCTTTTCAGTATTTTTTGTTATATGGATAAAAATATAAGTGATACCAATACAGTAAGGCAGTTTTGTTATGGTATGAAAGTGTAGTAATTAGCATTTACTGTTAATTCACACAAATTAAGAAATAAACAAATGAATGATAAATGTTGAACATGTACAATGAAATATATTTTAGAAATCAATTAGGCCAGATAGGCCTTATAAATTTTGGTCTTTTTCTTAACATACTGAATGACCATTTACACTCAGGACTGAGTCGCCAGTAGGCAGTACAGATGTAAACAAATGTGGATAGTGTCCACATGTGGACACAGATGATGCCCCCTCTTGCATATCATATAGTTATAAAGGGACATAACTGAAGAACGGTAAAAGTGACTCTACCCAAATTTGAACTTGATCTGAGTTTTGTGGTAATAAGCATTGTGTGTAAGTCTCATAACATTTGGTTGAGGCTAACTTAAGTAGAGAACAGAAACTCAAAATTCAGCAATTTTTCTATTTGTAAACACGCATAACTCTAGAACGGTTGTGTATACGTTTTATAACATTTGGTTGAAACAAACTAAAGTTAGAGAACGGAAACGAAAAATTCAGCAATTTTTATGTTTATAAAGGGACATAACTCAAGAATGGTAAAAGTGTCGCCACCAAATTTCGTACTTAATCTGTATTATGTAGTAATAAGCATTGTGTATAAGTTTCATAACATTTGGTTGTGGCAAACTAAAGTTAGAAAACGGAAACAAAAAATTTGTACTTGATCTTAGTTTTATGGTAATGAATATTGTGTATAGGTTTCATAATGTTTGGTTGGGGCAAACTAAAGTTACAGAATGGAAACTAAAAATTTAGCAATCTTTCGATTTATAAAGGGGCATAACTCAATAATGGTTAAAGTGACCCTACCCAAATTCAACTTGATCTGTATTTTATCAGTGGAAGTCAAAATTAAACATTGCATAGTATAAAGCATTGATTGTAGTTGATTCAACTATAATCATGGACAAAGGAAGATAACTCCAATTTTAAAATTACTTGATATTTAGAAGAAAATAAAAATTTAGCAATTTTTCCATTTATAAAGGGGCATAACTCAAGAATGGTTAAAGTGACGCCACCAAAATTCAAACTTGATCTGTGTTTTGTGGTAATAAGCATTGTGTATAAGTTTCATAACATTTGGTTGAGGCATACTAAAATTAGAGAACGGAAACAAAAATTCAACAATTTTTCCATTTGTAAAGGGGCATAACTCTAGAACGGTAAAAGTGACGCTACCAAAATTCAAACTTGATCTGTGTTTTGTGGTAATAATCATTGTGTATAAGTTTCATAACATTTGGTTGAGGCAAACTAAAGTTAGAGAACGGAAACCAATTTTGGGACGTATGTACGTAATGCCCCCTCCGCTACGGCGGGGGCATAAAAATAAAGTGTAACAAAAGAACCTAGCATCATATTGCTAGTTGCGCCAGTAGCATTGTTTGGTGAATTTGTGCTTCTTTTTTTTTTAAGTTTGGCTAATGGACAAAAAATGTTTGGTTCAAATCTAAATAAAATGCTTACATTGTACATAGAATGGATACTACTTTGACAATTCCTTGTACACGAGAGTTGTCTGTCAAATCTTTATTTCACAAAGAATGAATTGCATAACAATGAACTGAGCTCAAAGCAAAGCACTTTAATAATACACTAAGACAATGAGCTCAATCTAGTGATATACTTTGTACTACAGGTCCTTCATGAGCATCCTACTGGTCAAAAACATATCTCACATACATGCCACTCTACATGGTTGGATAAGAAGTCCTGAAAAAGACATGAACTTTATTAACATATTTTAAGTATATACACTGATTAAAACTTTCACAAATTTGTGGTAAAATTATTCAGTATCTAGCAACTATCAATCGCTTCATGCACAAATTGATATAGGTTGAGTACCCCTGTGTCAGAAATAAGAACATACCTCCACCTAATTTTAGTCAGAAACGTAAAATCTAAAATTTATAAAAAACGAAAGGGAGCTCATGTCAATAGATATAAACAATTCACCAAAGTTATATGCAAATTAGTTAAAGCGGTTTTGAGTTAATGTCCGACATGTTGACGACGGACAACGGTATACCATAGTACGTCCCGTAAACGGGCGTATAAAAATGACAGGGTGTCATACCACACCAAAACCTTCTGAAGGAAACACTAAGTTGGCAAACAAATTTTTTGTTTTTTCATTGACAACCCTGTATAACCTTGCAGCAGTATCGAGTCTACATGCATTACCTTGTATATTTCATGTACATTGAACTTAAAAATATGTGGTCATTGTCAAAGTTAGTTATGTCAGTTATAATTTACACATTTACTGAAACATGCCAGAGAAGTGCAAGCACAAACTTTTGAATTTGATCTGCAAACTGGGAAAGCCATCCTTTTATATGAATAAAATTCCACAATTTATTAAATTGAAAGGGAGCTTGCATCAATAGATATATATAAACAATTAACCAAAGTTTCATGACAAATGACAACTGCTTAAAGCATTTTCGAGTTAATATCCGAAAACATGGAAATCCCCCTTTTTGAATGAATAAAACCCCTTACATTGTAACTGGATAATGTAAATTCTAAAATTCCAAAACAATCTAAAGGGAGCTCACATTAATACATGTCAGAATATAATCCCATATAACTCTGAAACGGGAAACCTAAAATTTATAAAATAATCAATTCACAACAGTTTCATGCAAATTGGTGAAAGCATTGAAGAGTTAGTGAACAAAGCATTTTTAGAGTTAATGGGCGTTAACATGAAAATCCCCCTTTTTTAATGAATAAAACCCCACATTTTGAAAATGTATATTATAAAATTCTTAAAAATCTAAAAGGGAGCTCACATCAGTAGATATAATCAATTCACCAGAGTTTCATGCAAATTGGTAAAAAATATTACTGAGTTAGTGAACAACATGCTAGAAACAGACAGATCAGGGCAGACAGACGGACAAAGGCATACCATTCCAGGACAACACCCTCTGAAGGAAACACTATAAGGGAGCTTCCTTTCCATTTTTATGGGGGAAAAAGGGGGGGGGGGGCTAGGATGAAAAATTTTGTCCTGCATTTTTTTTTTAGTTCGAGATGTAATCTGTCCTGCCTTTTTATTTTTCACTCTTTTTTGTCCGGCCTTTTTTCTATTAGTTTATCCCGACTTGTTTTTACATAAATTGTCATCCTGCCTTTTTTTTCATATTGTCTCATCCTGCCTTTTTTTCAAATTTCATCCTAGACCCCCCCCCCCCCCCCTCCCCCCCTAAAAATCAAATGGTAGCTCCCTAAGTTAGCAAACAAATTATTTTATATTTACATTGACAAACCTGTATAACCTTGAAGCAGTATTAAGTTCATGTATTATCCCGCATATTATTACATGTACATTGAACTAAAACAAATTGTGGTCATTGTCAAAATTATAATTTACAGTTTACTTTTCCAATGCTTTCAATTTAAGATTAGGGCATTTTTGTCATTGGAATTGAGTTTTGTAGTCGGAGATTACTCTAACCTCCAACGACTGTTTTGCGACATCAGCTAGGGCAGTGGGACTTCAGCTGGTCCCATATCAGATAGATGATATTTGCCCGTCCAAAGTGGATGTGCTGCTTCGTTGCTTCTGGAGGCGACTGGATCCATATAAATCAAGCCTCAATTTATTCATTTTTCTCTTCATTTAAGTAAGTTTGATCAACCTGCCACCCGTTATCTTCTCATATTTGGACAGTTTTCACATTGACCCATCCAGTGGCGGATCCAGAAATTTTCATAAGAGGGGCGCACTGACTGCCTAAGAGGGGGCCTGCTCCAGTCATGCTTCAGTGATTCCCTATATAATCAACCAAATTGTTCCCACAAAAGTGGGGGAACGGGCCCCCCCTAAATCCGCCTCTGCCATCAATACGGACATTTTAGAGGGTATGAATGCCCTTTACCGTCAGGCGTCTACTGGTCATTTTCGGCTACCGTTAGCGTCAAATATGTCAACATTTTACTGTGATTCGTCAACATATCCTTATCGTGATTCGTCAGAGGTCTCAAATAATTATCGTTACCCTTATTTTTGGCAAAAAATTAACGTGATTCGTCAAAATCTGTCGATTTTTTTATCGTCTTGAAGAAAGTCTTCATTTTATCGTCATGCACCAAAAATTACCGTTAACGTCATTCGGCAAGATTTTTTACCGTTATTCGTCATGAAGGTACCCCCATTACCACCCTCATTTTAACTTTCACTTTATAAGAACGTCACATGACCAACATTATGGGAACTGATTTATGCAAATGACCCTTATTCAATAGGAAAACATAATCTTTATAAATCGAGCCTCAATTAGTTCATTTTTCTCTTCATTTAAGTAAGTTTAATCGACCTGCCACCCGCTATTTTCTCATATTTGGACAGTTTTCACATTGACACATCAATACTGGCATTTTTACTTTAACTTTAAAAGATTGTGACATGACCAACAGAAAAAGTAATTTACAATGCATTATGAGAGCTGATTTATGAAAATGACCCTTATTCAATAGGAAAACATAATCTAACACCTCGTTCATTTATGATGCAAATAAGCTGAATGGCTGAGTGTGTTCAATTTGAAAATAAAGAGTTAAAATGCTGGAATCGCAAAAACAGATGTTGGACATCAGAGTAATCTCGGACTATGAGTTTTAGGCAATTTAGGGGAGAGGGTTCAAGGGAAGCAAATGCTCTTTAAATTATGCATGTTTCAAAATTTGGGGAAAAATTACACAGAGAGTTGAGTCATTTTTTTCAGACTTAATTTAAATAATGACTAATGTAGACTTACCTTCTAATTCTTCTAAACTACTGAACAGGAACAATCATGGTACTTTTTTGTCTATGAAACTACACTATGACATCTGATCTGCAAAACCTACAAACAGACACAGAAATATGATCAAATAGTGAAATATAAGATTGATTGCACCTTGTATGGATAGTTCCGACTCGTGTTACATGGGGAGCCCGTTTGTTTACAAATAATAATGTCACGTGATCACGCACTGACCGTCACAAATTTTTATCCTCCGCCATTATTCTTATCAGCTTATTACACAATATTACTGTACTTGTACAATTCACAAATGCATAACCCATTTATCTTGCGGACATGCAATGGGAATGTGCACGCTTATAAAAAACTTCAAAAATAGTGCATGTACAGTTAATGAAGAAGTTATTTCATCAAATAGATAAGATTTTCACTCATGACACAAATTGACTGGGTGTCATCGCCATTTGGGATAATTGATAAATGGGATTAAATTGACCACCAAGAAGGTGAAGAGAACCACCTCTGGAGAACCTTAACATTAATAAGTAATACTCACCAAAATTTCTCTATAATTAACGCTATTTTCTGTTGGAAAATTTGAGAAAGATGCTGATAAACTTATTTGGTGACACAGATTATTTTTCTTGTTTTGGCGCGAAATATATTCTTACTCTTAATGACGTAACAAAAATTTGTATAGAATTATATTTTACTAAAGCTCAGCGTAAATATGCAGAAGCATGACAATACATTAATGATAAAATGTGTAAATATTTCTGTAAAAGAATATAATTTTACTGTACCAGTATACTTCACTTAGAATTACATTTGAGCGCAAGAAAATCTCTATGTGAATCGGCTGAATCCCGGGGTCGAAGTTCAACATGTCAACGGAAATTTTTGCGTGTGCTTGCGTTGCTTTAGATCAAGGCCACAGCTTTTCAACCAATCGGGGAATGTTTACTTGGGGCATACATCTATTTTTACTGCAGGTTTCAACATGTTTAAATCGGGATTATAGAAAAATGGAATGTTGTTGGTAGATACAAAACAGAAAATGATGAACACTTTTAGCAAAAGATAAATTGGATCGGGGGTCTGTGAATTCACATTATTTGTACAACTCTCCTTACTCTTGGGAAGCGTGTGCTTTACATCGAGGCTTGCGTTGCTTTACATCGAGGCTTGCGTTGCTTTACATTGACGCCATAGTAGTCCAACCAATCGGGGAATGTTTATTTGGGGCATACATCTATTTTTACTGCAGGTTTTGGCATATTTTAATCGAAATTAGAGAAAAATGGAATGATGTTAGGAGATATAAAACAGAAAATGATAAATATTTTTAGCAAAAGATGAATTGGATCGGGGTTCTGTGTATTCACATTATTTGTACAACTCTCCTTACTGATGGCAAAAAATGGAATTTCCGTGACCTAAATGGTTCGCGAAAATTAATATTTTTATATATATATAGTAATGATGGATGCTTAGTCAATAGAAAGATATATATATTTTGTTTTTTAGCTTTGGATAAAGAATTACCAGTGGAACCTGTCACACAACAAGAAGATACATTTACTTTTACTCCTGATCAGCTGTATCTTCTAGCATTACTTCATACACTGGTTAAAATCCTGTATGTGAAGGGTTATCTCAGTGTGTTACCTTTCATTACAGATATACTTGGTAAAGTATTATTTATGATATACATTAAAATAAAATGAAATGTTCATTTGCATGATTCATTACTGCTTCAACATTATAGAAAAATTAAATCTCCCATCCAAAACAACAAAAAACATTTTTTTTTTTCATTCTTGTATTAAATTCCAAAAATGGTATTTTGATGATGACACCTCAAACCTAAATATCTACATTTCTACTACAGTTTGTATTAAATCAAGGGTAAAATTAAAACATTTTCAGACCATTTACAAAATCAATTTAATGCAATACTTCTGATAGTTCTGACCTTTTTTCATCATTATTATTTATGATAGATTTTGAACTGAAATGGTCAGTTTGATTTCAACTGGTTTTGATTAACTGTGAGTTTTTAGATATATCCACAGTGGTATATTCAGTACTGTTCACAATTGCAGTCAAAGATCATCTGTTCAGTCATCTTTCAAAATATTCAGTAGCCGTTAATTATATACGTGTGCCAAACAAAAAATAGTGACTGTCTGTTACTGGACAATACTGGGTAACTTCAAGCAAAAATTCTGAACAGAACTGAATTACTGCAAGGATAATAGCTGAAAAAAATACATTAAATTCTTTACCAAAAATCCTACTGTTTTATGTTTAGACATTTCAGTTGATGTTATGATAAAAATGGCTGGTTAAGACTAAAATTTATTTACTTTTGCAAATTGTAGCATATACTATGTTCTGTCAATACTTTCAGATCCATTATCAGACAGCAAAGATCTACACCTAACAAATATCAGGAATGAAGCAGCTTATTTCACATGCATAAGTAAAGTATGTATGCACATTATGTAGCTCTGATTATATTCATTAGATACAAACTGATACTGAAATATTGATTGTATGTAGTGATTTTTCACATTCATTTGTTACTGTTCTTAATCGAAAGGCTTTGTCCTTTTACAATACCAATTTCCTAAAATGTTTAACCCAATTGCAGTTTGAGTTCATCTTTACAAACTGATCAATTGGTAAAATATTTTAGCTCATTGCTTAACTGAAAGTTGTTGGTATGAAGAAAGTGCAATGGAATAAAAAAAAAGATAATATCTTTTGAACCATATGTCAAACCTTCATCAAACTGTGATTGAACTGTCACTTAAATAGAACAAGACCCATAGTAATTTTTGAGTAAGAAGGTCATAGCCTACAAAGGTCACAATTCCTATAGATAGATTGAAATAATGGGAAGTTTTTGTTTCCAAACAATATAAGCTGAATTATAAATCAGATCTTTACCAATATTTGGTCAATATTGTGCTGTGGGGTGAAAAAGACTCTATAGATTTTGAGGTCACTTAGTCAAGGAAACAACAGCAATTGATAGACTGAAATTTCGGAAAAATATTTGGTTTTCCATCATTTAACATATGTCCTCATTTTCATCACAATATCTAAGACATGTACTGCATTATAGTTTATTTTTTAGGTGATGAAAACCAAACATAATTTACAGTTTGATCTAGAGAAAGAAAAGCTTATATATTTCATTGGTGATAGTCACTGTATAACATCTGCTTGGCAACATATAAAATTCAAGGTATACTTTTAACTGTAGAGCAATACATGCCTATATGATAATTTATTTAGACAATTTCTATTTTTATGTCTTTTGGCATTTAAATATTTCCTACTTCAATGATTGTTCAAATCTGTTCCCTTTCTCAATACCAAGTTGCAGTTTAAATTCAACTCTCAAACTGATCAACTGGTGTAATTTTTTATCTCAATGCTAGTTAAAGGTAATTAGTAGTATGTAAGTGAAGTGTATACAGTAAATTTTATGACAGATAAGGTGAGATGATATCCTTAAATCATAGTTACATTAAATACCTGATTAATTTGATCAACTTTCATGGTAGGTGTAATTGCCTAACATTGATACATTTATGGGAAAATACATTAAAAAAATATACCCCCTTCAAAAAAAGTCACCTTTCATAAGCTGGTACTCTTTAACATTGAAAATGTCCTGATTACAAGATTTGATCATAGATTATGATGTGAAGTATGCAAGCAAAACCTTATTTAAACTTAAAACCTGACTGAATTGAATTCTTGAACCATAGCAATCAGTGAAGAGTCTTTGATAAATGTAGCTGTTTAAACCAAACAGCTATCTTACACAAATAACAGTCTTGAATGTTACAATTCTTATAAAATTTAAGGATGCATATGAAAGGGAGTCGAAAGATACCACAAAGGGACATTCAAAAAGTTAATATTTTGTCTAGTAATTACTAGAACACACCTGCAACATTGCCGGTTCCGTGACTGGTTAAAGTGCCTACGCCTTATTTTTAAACTGGATTTTTAGTATTTGTATTGTCATCTGATAAAGTCATGCTGATTATAAGGTGCACAGTTTTCTCTGCTTTCAAAATCTTTTTGTTTGAATCTGTCCTGGTTTTCTTACTACAATCAGAAACTACATGTGACATATACTATTGTTATCAGTATCTGATTTGACCCAGAACTTGTTAATTATTGGAAATATTAATTATGTGGAAAACAAAAGGGCTTGGAATGGTGTAGTTTTTAATTAACACTAATGTTCTATATAAGTTGTATATAAAGTTGAATTCTTTGATTCGTAATTTTTACGTCATGTTGGCTAACAAATTGGACCTCGTTATTTTAGTAGTATAGATAGGTTTATTCACTTTTAGGAAAATGAAAAAAAGGAATATAAATTCATGTTTTATCTTTATGAATATTTTAGGAAGATACATTTACCATACATCCAGTATTATCTACAGGTACCAAAATATGGCATTTAAGGAGAGAGAGTCAATTTTACCCAAAGATAAACTTTTATAATGCAATTAAAGTTATTCCAGATAATGCAGCAGTTATGCTATGTTTTGGTGAAATAGATTGTCGAGAAGCCTTGTTATATTGTGTTGAGAAAGCCAAATATGATGTGAGTACTTAATATAGCTTTTTAACATGTTTAATTTGTAAGGATCACTTCCGACTATAGGCATGATTTATAAAGTAGTTGGATTGTCCATCTGTCTATGTATCACTAATCCAAACTGACATATAATGAAATAATAGGAATATGAAAAATTACTCTATATGTTTTGTATGATTGTTCCCCTAATTTTTAATCAGAAAGTGTGTCACAAATAAAATTGGAATCTTTGATATGATGGTCAAGGTGGCATACTTGTTAGAGGTTTTTACATGTTGAACAAAAGTTTAGTTGAGTAGCTTTCAAACTGTGTTAGGATGTTTGCTTAAGCATTGTAATTAAGATTGACACCTGAATACAATGGATATGTGCAGTTTCAGTCACTGTATACAGAATAACACAAATTGATTAGTTGATGGAATTATCCTATTCAGGCCACATTCTCTATTTTTGTTTAGAATTTAACTGTCAAACTTTCATTGTTATGCATAGCTTAATTTATTAAAACTTACTGTAATAATTATTATTAATTTTTTTATATTTGTAGAGTTTAGAAGAGGCTATTGACAAAGTGATAGATATATATATAGAAGTTATCAAAGATTTATACAAGAAATATAACTGGAGTATCTATATACACCCTGTAATGCCAGTGTTAGATATTACAAGGTATTTCACCTGCCTTTCAAAAATATCTGCCAATATATTCAAATAATCAAATATCAAAAGATGTTGTATGCTGCAAAATTTCTGTGTGCTTGTTAACAATAGTCCCCTTTTTAGCTTTATTAATAAATAAGTTTTTATGAAGATTTTATTTGCCAGTTAAATCTGTAACTGTGTCATTTTGTGAGACTAGAAAATATGAAGTGTTAGTCAAAATTAGAATTGAAGCTTTTCCAGTGTACTTGTAGACCTCTGATTTATGTCTCTCTTAAAGACCAAAAAGGTGTACCACACAGGACACTAATGTTACTCTTCCTGGTTGAGTACTGGCATCTCCTTTCTTAAATTTCATATGCATAGGGTGACTGCATTTTGGGGTAAGTTGTAGGAAATGAAACATGACATTTTGATATCAACAGTTTTGGAATGAGTAGTTTAGATCCAAAAGAAAATCATTTCAACAAGCTTTTTTGAAACCCTGTAACAGTATATTCTTTTTTATTGATTTTAGGTCACTGGTATTGCAGTTTAATTCAATACTTAAACATAGAATAAAGAAAGAGTCAACAGTGAATTGGCTAGAGTTTTTGGATGATTTGTTATATACTAATGAAGATAACAGCTTAGCTTTAAAAGACTGCTACAGTGAGTATCAGTTGAAAAAAGAAGAGGCCATGGGAAAGATGTTTGGGAGAGAAAAAAACACTATAGAAACCAGAAATTTACATGAGCAGAGCAAAAACAATGTCTAATATTTAAAAATCACTACCAGGTCTTCAAGAAAGCACTTATCAATATTAATCATCTTACAAAGCAGTTGTTTTCCTCTTTTGAATTCTTTTAACATTTTGTCATCCCAGTCTTTATAATTTACAATACTGTATAGGTTTTGCTCATAACTGAAGGCCATACAGTGACCTGTATTTTTTACATCTTGTTCCTTTGATCTTTAGGAATAGTTGTCTCATTGGAAATCATACCACATCTCCTTATTTTCATATAAAAAAAATTTCATCAGGACAGGACAAACAACAAACAATGAGAAGAATATTTCTTATCTATGTTATAGTTGTACAGTCTAATACAAATTTGATATAATTTTGAAAATGTATGCTTTGAATAGTGATTTATAAGTGGTTGTGCAGTTCTGCTTCATACAATCTGAAATATCACTGCAAATATGAGCATATTGAAAAAAAAACTTCATATTAGATATGAACATGATTGTTTGAATAATGATTCAAATAGTAAGGTTTGAGTGATCTTAACCACCTTGGTGGTCACATGGTAACATGCTAGCCTTGGGAGTGGGAGGTTTGTGGGGTTGAACTCCAGTCAGGTAAGACCAAAGACTCGAAAATTGTTATTTGCTGCTTCTCTGCTAAGCACATGGAATTTAGGAGTAAGAGCAAAGACTGGTCAGCTGGGAGTCAGAGTAATGTGACAGGTTTAATAGGGTGGCACAACTTCTTGTGGACTGCTACCTTGTGAACTAGCATTTTCAAAATCCTACTCAGCATGTTTCTTAGTACAAAGCAGGGTTTATATTCAAATCACATTATCATGATTGTCATGTTTTTGTCCTGAATAAGAACAGATAATAAAATGAAATGTGCATCTGGTGCAGAAAAATTGGTACATTAATGTTAACAAAAAGTTTTGATATTTATAAAAACAGTGAAAAGTAAAAAAACATTTCAATAATTATATACTTTCTACTGAAACTTCATCGTTAGGAATTTTTGAATGATTTTGATGGAACTGATGTTCATCCCCAATGTACAGTCCTATTGGAAATGTGATTAGCATTTTTTAATTTTTTTGTAGAATTTGATGGAACTCATGTTCATCCAAGATATACAGCTTTACTGGAAACATCATTTAGAACATGTACAGATTTGTGATGTTAGCTTACAAAGGCAGTGTATCTCTGTCTTCATAATAGGCTTATTGTTAGAGATTATTTTTTAAAGTTCAGCAGGTCTATATATTCTTATCAAACATAAAAATTCTTCTGCTTTTTCTTTTATATTTATTTAATGAAATAATCTTAGTTAAATATTGGTTATGAAATAAAAATCTTTATTATATTCTGTGTACTTTCCATACATGCCTCAGATTTTCATTTCCTTCAGCATGACCCAATCTTAAGTCTTGTTTTTCATTGTTATATCTGCAGTTAGTATTGAAGTGAAGTTAGATTGTGTATGGATGCATCAGGAGAATAAAGCTGCCTCCCATAAAAAGAATGTTATATTGAATTGTATGTTTATAAGGAATTCAATTCTTAGATAGCTTTTTGGTAAGTGTTCATCCTCCACTCTAAATGTGTCATTTTGAAAAAGTTTGAACTTTCCACACTTGTTTGTCTTTTCCCCCTCTGTCCAGGACAGTATATGGTAACTATGATAATGTCACCAGCCAAGTCGTCAGCACTTCTGTGTTGACATGAATTGTCATTGATATGGTTATAATTATAAATTTAAAACTGTTTACAAAACTTTTACCCCAGGAATAGATTATATTAGAAGTATTTGGTAAAACCTTACGGAATTTCGGGTCCTTGAAGCTCTTCAACTTCGTTCTTTATTTTGCCTTTTTAACTTTTTGATTTGAGCGTCACTGATGAGTCATTTGTTGATGAAACGTACGTGACGTTCAAAATTTTAAGCCTGGTATCTAAGATGACAACCACTGGGTCGATGCCACTGCTAGTGGAGGTTTACTCCCCGAGGGTATTACCAGCTCAATATTCAGCACTTCTGGGTTGACATGACTTATCATGAATATGGTCATAATTATAAATTAATTGTTTAATGCTCTTCAACTTGGTACTTTATCTGGCCTTTTTAACTTTTTTTATTGGAGCATCACTGATGAGTCTTTTACAGACGAAATGTGCATCTCGCATACGAAAATGTTAAGCCTAGTATCTGTGATGATCTTATTTGCTACCATTTTTCCATTGAAGTTCAACATTATTACCGCATTTTTGGGCACTCATCAGTCAAAGCCAGGCTCTCGACTGGCACTTGTCTCCTGAATGACTAGGGTGTTTTTTCCAAAAAAATACTATTAAACAGAAGCATTTTGTGAAAGTCTTTCACTAAATGCTTCTAAGTACATGGGCAATAAATAATTTAAAAAAGAAAAAAATCTAGGTTTACCAATGCTATTATAATCTCAATTGCAGCTTTGTATATCAACATACAAAATAAAGCTGTAAGGCATTGCAACAAACAATAACTTGAGCTTTGATTGCTTAAAGGCTAACTGTGAACTACTACAACACTTGACACCCATGACAAGTCTGTCCATCCTTTGTTTGCTTAATCCCCTACCGGCAAAGACTAAAACAGACAATAATTTTGCATTTATTGGTAAGTCAGACCCCCAGTCCCCAACCATTATAGAAAGCAACTTTTAAGTATGGAGTATAAACACTTAATTAAAAGATAAAGTTTTCCTTGTTTGTTCCAGTCGGATGTATTGATTTGAAACATTCTGAACATCGGTAAACTACTGTTGCCTCTGATAATGCAACATACTAAAGATAAAATAGTTTTACATTATACATGTATTAGAAGTCAGTCAATGACTGTTGAGTGACACAGACTTTGATTACATATATATTTTACGAAACATACAAATGAACCAAAATTAAAAAACACACAATATATAGATATAAAAAGATGTGGTATGAGTGTCAATGAGACAAGACTAACAAAGGCTAGATCGAGGTTCATGACTTTGGACAGGCGTAAAAATGCAGCGGGTTTGAGCATGTTCTGTGAGATCTCGACCCTCTTCCCTGTACCTCTAGTCAATGTGGAATAAACAAACACACAGCAAAATGCACAGTAAAAGTCATTTAAAAGAAATCCTAATCAGATGTTCGAATAGGTAACAGAAGAAACTGAGCAAAGGAATACTAGTAGTTACTGACATGCCAGCTCCAGACTTCAGTTAAACTAATTGAAAGATTACGTCTTCATCATATGAAAATCAACCACAATCCCTCCCATTAGGGATTAAGTATCATGCCATCGTAAATTATACGAGAAGAACATAACCCATATCATGCCAAAAACTGGTTTTAGAAACAATGTATTTATTTTAGAAAGTATAGGTCTCATTGGCACTCATACCACATCTTCTTATATCTATTATATTTACTTTGGAATTTCAACCTAAGACGATTAACTGGATCTTCTGACACTTTATTCGATGACTTGCTAGTGTTAATACAAGGAACGTTATATTGCTAGGTCTTCTATGTGATCATGCAACCTCTTTTTAAACTATTAACATCAACTGTATTAGCAAACGAAGCCGGACTTCAGAGTTTTTGTGAAACTATCTATTTTAGGGGCGGTGTGAATCAGATATGGTTACTAGTACTTAAAATTTCAAAGTACATAACATCTAAGTCTCTTTCCTCTTGTAATAGAACATTTGACTTTTCTACCCTCTACTCAAATATTCCCCATAAAACATTGAAAAATTGGTCTGACCTTGTTTCATTGAAAAAATGGCCAGCGTAGATACTTTGATATAGGGAGGGACAAGTCATACTTCGTAAACAAAACCACTTTGACTAAAACAATTTTTTTTTCTAAAACTGATATTATCAAGATGTCTGATTTCTTTATTGACAACATATTTGTTACGTTTGAAAGACGTATTTTAAAACAACAATCGACGTTCTCGTAGGAACCAAGTGTGCTCCTCTAATTGCCGACATGCTCCTTTATTCATATGAGGCAAATTTCATACAGGAGCTTCTTAGGAAATGAAAAGTAGTTAGCATTATCCCTTCACTTCTCGTTCCGCTATATAGATAATGTCATATCACTAAATAATTCAAAGTTTGGGGACTATGTTGAACGCATCTACACTATCGCAATTAAAATAAAGTATACAACTTATACAGTTAGGTCTGCTTAATAACTTGGCTTACTTCTGGAAATTGGCAATATTTTTAGTTGAGAACAAATCTTTACGCCAGAAGAGATTATTTCGGCTTCCCAATTATGAACTTTCCATTTCGATGTAGCAACATTCCTACAGCGCATGCATATGGTGTATATAAGTCCCAGTTGATACGGTATTCCAGAGCTTGTATTTTTTATAATCATTTTCTTGATAGATAGTCGCTGCTTACGAGGAAACTTTTAAACCAAGAGTTCCAAGTTGAAGTCATCCCTTCGAAAATTTTACGGACTCGACCACGAGTTGGTTGATCATTGTGGAATACCTGTTTCACAGATGACAACGGATATTGTCTTAACCATAATCTTGTCATCTTTTCATCGTATGTAAAATCACCGAATTTAACTTATTAACGAGTTTGTACAAAAGCAACATGACGGGTGCCTCATGCGGAACAGGACTTGTTTCCTCTCCTGTTAATTCTTGAATTAGGAGAATATTACGATAAGAATCCATGACCCACTGTAATTCCTACACTCTGTTTATGTCAACCGAATTAATTAATTGATTGATTGATTGATTGATTGATTGGTGTTTGACGCCTCTTTCTGCACTATTGTGCTTTTTTTGGCGTTCAGCTTCTACTGGTAGAAGGAGCAGGAATGCTAGGAGAGAACCACCGACATCCGGTAGGAAAACTGACAATTATAGCCAATTAAGATTGGAGTCGAGCGCACCTGCCACGTGCGGGATTTGAACTCACAACCACAGTATTGACAAGGTAGTGATACAGTAGTTTGACTACTTAGACCACTCGGCGACCGAGGTCCCTCAACCCTATTAAAACATTGCCGTGAAAAAAAGCTAGTCAACTAAACTGCAGATTATAAAAGATATGAATTAGAAAAATGTCATTACTGTAAGAGAGCACCTGTAATAACATTTTATTTGGGATTTGTGTTCAATCTTATTTAGTTTTTTGTTGTATATGGGAATACTAGTATTTCATTTTCTTAATATTTGTGTTGTTTTTATCAATACCGCCTTAAATTTCCCTTGCACTAAAACTGGTTGTGTATTCATTTTTAACAATCGCTTTCGGACATGTCTCACGGTTAGAACATTAACATATAATGGAGTTAGACAATAAACATTTTTACTGATTACGTCTTTTCATAGCATTAAACATGTAAACATGAGTAACACGATGGGTGTCACACTTGAAACAGTAACCGGAACGCTCGAATTCATGCCGGGTTATGGTGTCGCTTTATAGTTTTCTGTACAATGTTTGGACTGTAGTCGTTCAGTCTTTTTTCTGTTTGCTTTGTGTTGTCTGTTCTTCGACTTCAAATTTCAATTGGTTTTTTTGTCATCGGCTTACTTTTTCATCATTTTGTTTTCTGTGGAGGATACTATATCTTGACAATTAAGATTCATTTAATGGACTACTCAAAAGGAGTTTCCATTCTCATATTCAGGAAGCCTGATATTAAGAGGATCTGTCAATAGCACAAACCTCTATGTACACCAAATTTCTCCTAAAATGCATTATATTAAATCAATGACATTTTTATTTGAGAATTTAGTTAAGGCGATCCTAAGATATGTTGTCTGTACCGTTTGTCAAGTCATGCATCTTTTCGAATCTAGATAATACGTGTACGACAAATAGTATCAACGACCTGCCATCAATACCAACTTTGTTAACGGATAAAATTATTACGATATAACCAATGAAAACTTCTGACCAATTTTCTCTCTTGGGAATTCACATTTTGATTAGTCTTTAGTTTTGTATGCCACCCCTACGATAATAGAAGGGCATAATGTTTTTCGGTCTGTGCGTCCGTTCGTTCGTCCGTTCGTCCGTCTATCCCGATTCAGGTTAAAGTTTTTTGTCAAGGTAGTTTTTGATGAAGTTGAAGTCCAATCAACTTGAAACTTAGTACACATGTTCCCTATGATATGATCTTTCTAATTTTAATGCCAAATTAGAGTTTTGACCCCAATTTCACGGTCCACTGAACATAGAAAATGAAAGTGCAAGTGGTGCATCCGTGTACTATGGACACATTCTTGTTTGGTAGTATTTTAGGTAATTATTTGTCTCTTCGTGGTATTTAGATTTTGCCATGGTGTTGTCAGTTTCTTTTCT